ACTTGGGAAGACACTGGAGCTTTTCCATGCAGAACTGTGATGTACCACACAGCCTACACTAACTGACAAGCTACCTAATGACAAGCTTTTCATGGTGCCAGAGAAACACAATTCAGCAAATGTCCATTTTTTTGTTAGTTTTAAGATGAAAAGCAATAGATGAAAGCAATATCCCTAGTATGGTAAACGACGAAAGAGCAATTCTGTGACAGAGACAGTTTAACAAAACCCGTGAACTCAGGAGGCTCCTCTGGAGCGCGGAGGGCAGAGACAGCACCAGGACTCTATGCACCAGCCACTGAATAAAATCCGTATGTTCTGTCAGTGCCAGAAACAAAGTCTCATCTCAGCTGCAGGGAGTTAAATCAGATCCAAATATAACTCCCCATGTCTGAAAAGGTCTGAAATAATGATTTGAGCTATAAGGAACACTTGAAAACTACAGAAGAAGCTGTGCAAAACACGTTTGGTGCTTGTAATAGAGAATATGCTGAAAACTCAACCAGTACTACCATGGGTACAACATGAAGATTACCAGATAGTAATAAGTCATCAGTCCCTGCAGTAGAAATGGGCTCACCATAGCACCTGTGGCTGAGTATGGAGACCTAAAGACCACACTTTAATCCAGATTCTTACTCTGGTTGAATTCATATTATGACAAATAGATACCGAGTCAAATATTACTGTCTTTTATACCAGGAGCATGTCACAGAGTCAGTTATACTGAAAATGTGTGCTTTATGTGTACAGCTTGTATACCAGTTCACAGAACCAGGTTTTCCATTTGTAGATACGCATTTTCCTTTTCATTATAGAGTTAACAATGTGAATGCTAACACTGCTATGGCTCAAAAAAGGAACTGTAAATGTGACTGCTACAATCAGGTTTTTTGTGGAGTGGTTTGTTTGTTTTTTTTTCTGGAAAGAGGAACACCCTAACTATCTGAATTGTGGCTACTGAAACAAACTGCAGCATTGTATGTACATGAAATAAATATTTTTAAAAGCTTATAAGCAAAAAAAAAGTTACGAAACAGCGTGAAACTAATGACTAAAATTTTTGAGCTATTTGAAGAAAGTCGCTGGCAGGCTGTAGGTGGTCTACATAAGACACTCACACTCCCATCTTTCCAGACGTGCTTTTGTGCTTGATTAATTAGAGAAACTAGGCAGAGGTGATACTTTTTCAGTGACTGATGTTTTCTTATAATTAAATCAATCTGGTATATTTCTCCCAGAAAGCATTAGGTCATGAAATGTTCATAAAACACCAACCTAAGTGTCATCTGGAAAATTACAAATTTAATATTTAGATGGATGTCTTTGGTCAAAATAAAAACAGTGGGCTCTTTAATTTCATAGAAATTTAGTAACATAAATTTAGTCTGAGCATCATATATTAAAATAATGCTATGCAAATAGGCATGACAGTTAAGTAAGGTTTTAGAGTAAGACTGTTTAAATGAGTGAGTAATATTTTAAAATGTCAGTCAACACACCATGAAAAAAGAAAGCTCAATTTAATTATGTTGGTCATTTGTGGCTTAGGTAGGAAAAGGATTAACATGTAGAGTAAGTTAAGGCTCCCCAAAGCTTTGTGTGGGCTTTACACAGGTATTCACTTTCATCTCAATAAAAGAATTAGTGTAACAAATGCTGGCTTACATGGTGCTTTGCTGCTTATGGAACAAGAGAGCTTCTCAAGAAACTTGCTGTGTTGCCATGTAAAGGTCAGGCACAGTTTATGGAGAATTGGGGAAAAAAAAGGTTCTTAAAGAAAAAAAAGGCTTTGCTGACAAATCTGTAGTATGGTGGTACAGAAAAGCTTTTTTGTAGTTTGCTTGTGTCAACTTTATTTTGACTAGTCCCAGTAGAGAAGACGTCTATCAGCAATCACTGTCATAGTCCAGTGGGATGGGAGGGGCAAGATAGAGGGTTTGGAGTAATACAGTAACCTACATTATTTTTTTTAATGTGCACAAAAGTCAAGAAATCGGCAGTAATGTTTTCAGCCTGAAATAACTTGCCTACTGTAGACTGAAGAATTCAGTACATTGTAGAAAGCAGAGTAGACACATTGCACTTGCTGGGAGGACCACACTTTTGCCTAGTATTAAAGCAGAGAGGTTTCTACACAGTACTGAAAAATAAGTGGGGCTTAGTACATATTTCAGGCTTCCCCAGCTGGAATTATTTTCTGTCTCCCTGGAAGATGGACAAGAAAGTGAGAAGAAAAGAGGCCACAAGGGCCAGGCACATGCCAAATCTGCACCTAATGTTCATAACCACAGGACTGAGGCAGATGGCATGTATTTATAAAACAAACTGACCATTGCATAGCACATTCACGGCAATAAGTGTGCCCATATTGAACATACTGCACTTTGGAAGTCCTGAGGATTACGAGGCCGAACTGCTGGAACAGCACACTCAGTGTTCTCAACTACCACGTTCCACTCAAATTCTAGAGGAAAAGAATAATAACAGATTTTCTTTGTTTGTGGGAGAAAGTAACAAGAACCTGAGGTGCAAATTATTTTCATAGCCAAGCATTATTTAAAAACTAAAACAGAAAAAAAACTATTATTTGATACTCTCTAAAAGATATTTTGCTTTTCTCTTTTGCACTTCTATGCGGAAGTACCTTCCCAATTCGTCTGAAAGCTGGGATTTTTTGAACTGATCTTGAAATTAGCAAATGCTTCCGCTACAGGTTTCCAGCTACTTTCTTTTCAAAACTACTGTAAAATATGCTAATACAAAAAAGAAGCAGCTGCACTCTGCTCATTCAATGGTAATTATCAGCTTCTGTATATTTATCATGTTATTGACCCTGTATTTGCCAAAGGAATGTACGTCCACATACAATCCAGACAATCAGATACAGAAAGTGTGTTTAGAAGTATGTCATACTGGAATTTTTTATAATAGGGGTTTTTATCGTGAAGTTATGAGGAATCCTTGGGAGACAATAAGGAGATTTATTTTATTTTTTTAAGTCTCCAAAATGAAGAACACTATTTAGCAGATTCTGTAAAAAGTGAAAAGTTTGGAAATTTATTGAAGTCTACTTAATACAAGGAACATAACAATTCCAAACCAAACGGCACAGGTGTGAAAGTCATCATTTCCACAAGTGGGCACACCAAAGGAAAGCGCTATGTCTAGCAGAGGACACGTTCTGTGCTGTCATTGCAATGTAAAAGGTTCAAACTCATCTAGTGACAACAGCAATGTCTTTCAGCTGCTCGCTCACTTCCCCCTGGTGTGACGGGGGAGAGAATCGGCAGAGTAAAAGAGAGAAACCTCGTGGGTTGAGATAAAGACAGTTTATTAGGCAGATCAAAAGCCACGCGCACAGGCAAATCAAAACAAGAAATTCATTCACTACTTCCCGCCAGAAGGCAGGTGTTCAGCCATCGCCAGGAGAGCAGGGCTCCATCATGTGTAACGGTTGCTTGGGAAGACAAACTCCGTAACCCCAAATGTCCCCCCCTTCCTTCTTCTTCCCCCAGCTTTATATGCTAAGCATGACACTATATGGTACGGAAAAGCCCTTTGGTCAGTTGGGGTCAGCTGTCCCAGCTGTGTCTCCTCCCGGTTTCTTGTGCCCCCCCAGCCTGCTCACTGGTGGGGTGGGGTGAGAAGCAGAAAAGGCCATAACTCTGTGTAAGCACTGCTCAGCAGTAACCAAAACATCTCTGTATTATCTACACTGTTTCCAGCACAAATCCAAAACAGAGCCCCATACCAGCTAATATGAAGAAGACTAACTCTATCCCAGCCAAAAGCAGCACAGAATTGTACATTAATGGCAATTTCTGTTGTATCTTGATTCATATGTGATTCAAGCCTATACTAATCACCAGTATTTAAATGCAACTTTTGGGAGAAAACAAATCCCCTTAGATGTGTTCATTCAGAACACCACAAAATGCAACACTTCTAAGCCTCTAAAATAAATCAGAGATAGTCAGGTAATTCAGGAATTGCATACAGAGCTTGAGGGGGGTGGTTGTTGTAGCTTTTTGAATTAGATGTGTATAAGCACTTCTATGGTTTATTCTTTTCAATGAGAATATAGGAGCTGGGTTTTTAAAGGGTCTCACTGTGCTATTACACATAAAGACATCGAAGCACTGGGCTACATCAAGAACATGAAAGGGAAATTAGCCACTTTACACCACAGAAAGAAATTTAAACACTTAAATATGTGTCAAATGCCACAGAAAGCCCCTCAAAATCTATAGCGTGGTAAGGCTCAGCCTTCTGCAAAACCTAAGCCTCTCACGTAACAAACCTGGTTGACAAACACTGTGATTTATGAGAGGACTCTCATTCCCCAGTAGCACAACCAGTGAAACTCAGCAGCGCTTAGACCAAAAAAAAACCCTCGAAAACTTCTCACTGCTGCACATTCAAGTCAAGTGACACTCTCCCATTTTAGGATGCAAGCCAAGCCTGACAGAGCTCCTGCTAGATTTCTGTCCTGGCACAATGATTTTTCCTTCACTTTACACGCAGCAGCTAGGCTGCAGAGATTAATATTCTCAACTGCACAGACATTTAATCCCTCCTTGTCTTATTTCATAATCAATGGCACCAAATTCAGGTCTTTTTGTGGCTTTAAAAACTGCTCCAAGCTTTGTTTAAAATCCTATAATTCCAATTCTTTAGCACACTCGTAGTTGTATATATTGTGCATACTTCCAGGTTAAAATACCAGTACTTAAAATATAAAGTTAAGATATTCTTTACAGGATTGGAGCTCCAGTCTGCTATGTTTTCATTGTATGTGCTGCAAATGATGGAGATGATAAGAGAACGAAGTTTTCGCAAACCTTTGAATTACTCTTCTCGGTTATAAAGAGCAAGAAAAGATTTAGGTAGAAATACATACATACAGACAGACAGACAGACAGTACGCAAATAGATAAAATTAGATTTCTAATTTCCATGTACTCCAAAACCTTGAAGAAACAAACAAAAAAGCTTACCCGTGCCAATGTCAGTGTTCCTTGTTTACACACACTGCAGCGGACCCTCAGTTTCCCAGGCTTCACAGCTTGGCAGAAATTTTTGCAAAAAACATAAAAACTGTTGTAACTAGATGTACCTGTCAGGAAGAAAAAAAAAAAACAACCAAAATCAAACAAAAGCATTTGATGGATACTGAAAATCAGTAACAAACTAATTTTAAGGCCTGAAGATAGCATTGTGATGATCTTATATTGCCTGGTCTAGTTCTTAACACCTTTCAGTAACTCCTGCTTCTTTATCAGTAGTTATAGGTGAACTACACCATAACCCCTAGAAAATGCATCTTGTCTTGAGTTTGAGCTTACCCCTGATAAGCACAAACTGTAATCTTTCACAAGTGATGTATGAAATTAATTACCCCAGCTCTCCATAATTTGCATCTTACTTCTAGTCTAAATTTGTCTAGCTGCAAGTTTTATTGAGTTCACATTGCATGAAAATTTCCTTGGATGAAGTTTAAAAGATTAGTTTGACTGATACCACAGCAAGAAAACAAATATTTAATTTAGCAAATTTAGTTTTATTCCTGGAAGACTAGGAACCATTTCTTTATTCTTGCTGGCAGCGGAATAACCTAGCAAAGTTTGCAAACTGCTGCCAAGATATTAGGCCAAGTAAATTTTCAAGGAAAATGAAATGAAACGCATTCTGTTCTGTGAAACTATGGAACAGAAGATGATATGCAGAGAATTGTGTAAGCCTGGGGCAATGCTAATGAATTTGATTTCACATGCAATCCTGATCACTGTTTTGAGTAAACCACTTTTTACAATGGCTACTGCTATTCCTCAGAAAATGATGGAGGATTCATAGTATAGGTTTCATCTAGACCAGCCATCTGCAAGTTCAGAGACTCCGGCTTATTATCAGAAGTTGAACTGAGACCAGAATAAAGTTTTTACCAGATTTTTCCCACTGTCAAGAGGAATGGTTGTGGAGGTTTGACCCATTTACAGTGGTGAACTTTAGAATCAAAAGCAGTCCTTTAGAGATCAAAAGTTTTTCACTGTCTTCTTCCCCATTCTCCTACTTCTCCCTGCATTTATCAGCAACATACTTCTTATGTATATTTTAGTCCTTTACCACAGTAAACGTGAACTGGAATACTATTTTTAAACATGACTGCCTTGCTTTATTTTTACATGTTCTTCACATGATGAAGGTAAGACCCTGCATTTTGGCAATGAAAATGCCTACCAATTTCATATTACACCTATTCATAGGTGTTCTAACATACATGTGCAACTCATTTCCAAAACTCAACTTCAGGGAACTATGTTGTCCAAAAAAAAATTTTCTAAGAAAAAAGATGAAGATGTCTTCAAAGATGCACACTGCTGAAAGAAGAAATTTTATAACGCATGGTAAAAAGAAGGATACCAAAGTTTTTCAAGTTTTTAGAAATGAGAGCTAATAAAAGTACATCAGTGATGTCTCCAATATTAACTTTAGTAAACTGATCTATCAAGTATTTTCATTATGCTTCCCTGGGCAACATTAATTGCTATAGAACATAAAGCATAACAGAACTGTAACTGATTCATTAAAAAAAAAACCAACAACCACACACATCTGCACATTCACACACGTACAAACTTTTCATATGAATATGAACTCAACTCAAAAGGTTGAGAGCACACTTCTCAAATCAGTCTAACACAGTTCTGAGATTAAAATAGTTCAACTAAAATAAAAAAGGCACACGCTGAATTATTTAATATATGGTACAATGTTGAGAGGTGACTCCAGACTAAATATGAAAAAAATTCGGACATTTGGATCTCTATTCACTCATATTTTGCCTGAGGCTCTTAACACTAGGACTGAGAGCACTTCTGGATTAGACTCCATTTGAGCTAGAATCCACAACAAAAATCTAAACTACGATATTGCAAATGAGGAGGAATACACTTGCAAATGATTGAATTTCACTTTTGGCAGTTCCTCTATGCAGGATGAGCAGATCAATCAATAAAACAAAAGGGCAGTACCTTCAGCACAATTCTAAGGAAATACTACATGACTTAAGTAAGCAAGACTGCTATTTCTCATCGACACCCACAATCAAGATGATGATTTTTAGCCACTTACTTCTGACTCTGTCTCAAGTGTAAAGTGAGACGAGAGTCCTTTACCTATTTTGGTATCCCCAGTCCTCTCCCATTGCTCCGATTTCTTATATGGGCAGTCTAATGAGACTAATGAGATTGCTGCTTCTATTCACATGCTGAAGCACTTATCCAGAGCAGATCTGTGATACTACTACTCAGGGTCCTAATTTAGAACTACTGTCCAGAGAGATTCTTGCCATGACTCTAATGAAACCCTTCCAGTCAAACAGAACAATCTTACTGAGTACATGAGCCCTTACAGAATAAAATATTTGGTTAATTGGGCTGATGTCTTTCCTGATCCAGTCCTCCACTCCCTGATGTCTTGTGTCCCTGTCTCACATTTTATACCAAGTTTATTTCAAGCAGTAAACTACTTGAGGCAGGAATCATGCTTTCTGCCTGCTTTGTGTTCTAAGCTCATTCCATCTGGACCCAAAGATAAAATTATATTATTGATAATACTCTGCAAAATATTCACAGCATAGTATGGCATAAATCAGCATGACTGAATACTGCAGTAAAAAATAGCAGTCATAGAAGAGGCCTAAAATGAGACATATTGCTGATTTACTATAGAGGATAAATCTTATGCATTAGCTTGATATTTACTCTGTGCAAAAATAGACTATGTTAACTCAATATTCATTTTTCTTTGCACTTTCCTTTTTTTTTCTCTTTTTCATGAATATAAAAAGTACCCCCAAACACATCCCCTATGCACAGATTTGAAACACAAGAAACAAATTTATAATACAATGAGTTGAAGCAGTTAAGCATCACAGATCTATTCAGAGACCCAGAATAACTTTTGAAATGTCTGCTATAGCAAGGCTGCTGGAGAGGCACAACACAACAAGAGGAATGTTCTGATTTTAGAAGGAAAGAGTAAATGGAGATTTTCAGCAATTCATTCACCATTTTATGTAGGCATGCTGTTCTCAGTCTCAGTCTCAGTCTCAGTCTAAAGCAAGTTACATCATTGTATGTCCTGAACAGCATCACTGGTCACAGCAAAGACTGAATTAAAAATGCAAATGCTAAAAGTCAGCATACAGTACAATACTGATGGCCAGAATTAAAGTCTTTACTGACTTGCTAATGTCACTGTGTATTTTAGCATGGCCCTTGGCTGAGACTGCATCCCCTTGAATCTCTTTTCAGAGGGGAACTGAAAGAAACGGGAACAAAGAAATATGCTTTGTGCAGCAGCTCTGACGTAGCAGTATTAATAAGAATTGTAATTATGGCACTGTGCCAGTAGTCACTAAAATTGTTGCAGCGCCAACCTGAGTACCTTGTCTTTCCTCATTCAATCATGGTCTATAAGTTTTCATAAAGCTTTCCATTAATATGTTATAATACTGGCACTCAGCAAGAATGTGCAGACTTAGCAAATTACAAGTTAAAAAAAAATGAAGTCCTTTTATAAAAGCTGGTTCTGATACTGTACTTGAGCATTAACACCATAAATAAATAAATAAAATTAAATTAAATTATAACTACTAGTCTTCTTTGCAGTTACATACATTGGTGGGAGGAGGAAGACTGAGGGAAAAATAAATGTGCTGTATCTGCACTTATTCTGTTCTGAGAGGTAAATTCACAGCAATCTCAGTTTTCAGGTCCATATTCCAAATATTTATTTGTGGGGCAAGAGTCCCATAATAGTCTCTTTTGACCATCAATGATTCATCCATTGGTCTGGACAGTCTTTTCTGGCTTTCCCACACCGGCTGGTATCCAGAAATAATTTCTCAAAAAAACCTGAGTTTAAGACCTATGTAAACTGAATTACTCAAACTAAGTCATCAGAGGTGGGGTTAAGGATCAGTTTTGAAAGTATAATATCCTTCAGTGCTGTCATTTAGCAATGGATGATAAGTCAAGAAAAACAACAAGAATAATTTTTCTCTAGTATATTTTGTACTGAATGCACTTCTATGGATGTTTAATAGCTTTTTAAATATATGAGAAATAATTCTGAGCTAGAATCATAATGAATACTACGTAATCAACATGGTGTTGTGGTGCTGATTGCCACTTTTTCTACCAATGTTCTCATCTGAGTGAAGCTTGCAATTGCTGGAGAAACTTAGTGACTTCCCACTTGGAAATACTGACAGTGTGTCTAAGGGCAATACTAGAGTAGGGAGATGAGAGAAAGACGAGAGAAAAGTGTTGGAGCAAGACAAAGTATCAGGAGACACAGAAATATCTTAAGTATTGTAACCCCCTCTCCATAAGCTCCTCTGTAAGAATTTTTCCCTGCCATCTCCACCTCAGGCTTAGTTATCTGTGTTTCAGAGTGTCTAAGGTCTAGGGCCCACCATCATAGCCTTCTAAGGAAATTACCGAGCCATGAGAAAGAGCTGTGAAAAAGTTTGTAGAAGGATAAAAGTAAAATGGCAGAGAGAAAGGGTTGTAGAAATGGACTGACTAGGCCAAGGGTTCAAGGGGAAAAGTATCAACATGGGTAGTTATAAAATCCCAAATGAACAAATGATGGGGTTATTTGATCTGACATTGTATGTTGAGAGCCTACAGTTTAATGATCCAAGCTACACAGATGACAGGTTTCACATATTCTCAATGGTGTCCATTAAAATCTTTTCAGTGTTTTTGCTATTAATTCATATTCTGCTTTTCTCTCTAGTGGATTTACTATATTAGCCACTTGTTGATGTAGATCTTCAAATTAGCCATAGAAAATAAATGAGGAAAGTTTGAATAAGCCACACTGCAGGTTGTGAACTTGTTCAAACCAAAATCAGACCAACTGCTTCCTCCTGTTTGGTTTAGAGAGGTATACGATAAATTACTCCCATCTGAACATCATAAGTCTGAGATAGACTTTTCGTATTTAAAAAGCAGAAGTGAGTCTCATAGACAAAATCTGTTGTTCCACTTTCAAAAGCAATTTAATGACCATTTTATGCCTCCAACATCTCCGGTCACTTTTAAA